GGGGAGGGATGCTGATGAGTGGGTGATCTGTATCGGGGAGCTGATGAGAGGGTGGCTTGGATATGGGGTGGAGGGTTCTGGGAAAGGAGGGCTGGTGAACGGGGGCCCGGTACCAGCCTGGGAGCAGGGGAGGGTTGGAGGACCTGGCATAGGGGCTGGGGGGGGGCACTATGGGGTGGAGGGTTCTGGGAAAGGAGGGCTGGTGAACGGGGGCCCGGTACCAGCCTGGGAGCAGGGGAGGGTTGGAGGACCTGGCATAGGGGCTGGGGGTGGACACGGGAGCGTGCAGCCCTGCCCAGGAAGGGGAGCAGGGCTGGGGAGCTGGGAGAAGCAGGAGGTGGAGATGGGGGGTATCATCTTAGAGGGATGGGGGAGTAGGCATGGCTTGTGACAGGGGAGTTTGGCAGAGGCCTGAGTAGGTGGCTGGGGGGACGAGGTTAGGGGTAAACAGACAGTGTCCCTTGAAGCTTGAGTTCCTGGTATGAGATCCATCCCATTGTGACAGCAAACTATTCTAGCATACTTAATGAAAACAATACATCCGGGGAAGTTCATACATTTCATGCCATCCTTATTGGGAAGTTTGTTATGAAGAAGCAGATAGAGCATCCCAAAGAATTCACCAGGAGATAATATGCTGATGACTGAGTGAACCAATATTGTAAACCCTTTTAAAGTGCCATCACTTCAACTTTACAGCTGGCAGTGGCCAAATGCATGAAGTCATACATGCTAATGGTTCAGCTGGAACTAATAAATAACAATATATAAAATAAGCAACAACAAAAAAAACCCCTCAAGCTATATCTGCTGCCTCCTTTATATAAAAATCTAGGGTAGTTTAATCCAGAATCAAAATCTCTTCCGTACAGTGCCTGATATTGTCTTCTGAATTAGCATAACACGTCCAATCACTTCTTGTTACTGGCAGTGCTGTCCTCTTTTGTAAAGATGAATTTATCTTTATCTGAAAATAGAAATGAATGTGTATTCTGTACATCTGGCTTTCTCTTGTGGTTGCATTTTGAAAGTTGCGGTCAAAGAATATTAAAATCCTGCATTTTGCATATGATAGATAGGCTATTTCCTCTTGGCTCCTTCAGATTGAATATCATGCTTAACAGTGCCTGTGGATAAAAGTAGGTATGGGAGTGTGATTTAAAAAAAATGGTGGCTGAGGATCCTGACTGGTACAAAATGACCCCAAAAAATGGTGGCATGCTCTCCTCAGTCTGCAGGGCCCGAGCCAAACCCTGCGGAAATCAATTGGAGCCTCTCGGTTGACTTCTTTGGGCTGTATTTCTGAGGCAGAAACTGATGTCCCTGACTCAAAAATTATTTATAATCAAGATTAAAATATTAAACTTGGATCTTGCAGTCCTCATGAATCTCTATAGCAAAAGCTGTATGAATTCAAGGGCTGCAGGCAATGTTCCCTGTAAACTTTTCCATCGTGCACAGAATAAGTGTTATATGCTCCGAGACATGTGTGAATGTATATTATCAGTAGAAACAAAAAATCTATCTATGGACATTGAGCTAATCAGCTGGACGGCACTGGAATCTCTCCTGAGTCGTCGCACAAGTACACAGCTTACAAGGCAACACTGGCTGCAGGATCCAACACTAATTTCTTATTACTGCTGAAAGTACACAATGCATCAGGTTTGTCCCAACAAAGAAAGCAATGTCACGTGCCACTGAGCAAGCAGCTCCTACAGATCTGGTTTTGGGGAAGTTTAGGACAAAATTTAACACTAGAGGGCACTAACCACCCTTGTTACTTCAGCACTGAAAAACTTTGAAAAAGAGGGAAAATATTCTGCCATCACAATTTTGTCTATAACAAGATTAAAAAAAGAACTAGATAAATTCATGGAAGTTAGGTCCATCAATGGCGATTAGTCAGGATGGGTAGGGATGGTGTCCCTAGCCTCTGTTTGCGAGAAGCTGGGAATGGCAAGAGGGGATGATTACCTGATAATTTTCTGTTCGTTCCCTCTGAAACCCCTGACAGTGCCCACTAGGATGCTAGTCTAGCGTGAACCCAGTGAGACCATTCTTATGTTCTGACTAGTGTTAAAGATTCCCACTTTTATTACTGTATAGCATTGTATTGTATGGATCCAGTTTTTGATTGACAGTACAGTAATTCCTTATTTAACACTATAGATATGTTTCAGAAAATGATCGTGTTAAGTGAAAACGTGTTATGCGGGGTCAGTTTTCCCATTGAAAATAATGGAAAAGGTGGGGGCTGCTTTTCAAGCGATGGTGTCTGTTGGGACTGGGACATAAGGTTGGGGGAGACAGGGACTGGGTTACAGCAGGGAGGGGTGGTGTTTGGCTCTGGGGAAGGAAAGGGGAGGAGAGGGAAGGGGGATTGGGTTGGGAGTATGCCCCTGTGACGGGTCTGCTGGGACCTGCACTGCGTCCGGCGAGGGGGGGTTGTGGGGAACGACGCAGCACGCCCCCGAACCCTCTGCCGCTTTGCAGGGAGGCGGCCACCGGCCTGCAAGCGGGGGTGCAGGAGACGGGGCAAGGCATCCGGCGAGGGGGAGTCAGTGGGGAACGGTGTGGCGAGCAGCGAACCCTCCACCGCTTTTCAGGGAGGTGGGGGAAGCCCCGCGCAGCCGCCGGCAATGGGCCAGCTGGGGAAATCGTGTTATTCCAGGGACAGTCGTGTAATTCAAAAAACGTTCCCTAAAAAAAAATCATGCTATCGCGAAAACGTGTTAAACGGGCACGTGTTAAATGAGGAATTACTGCATAGTCTATGTGTGCATCCTAGCAAATATTCTTTGTCTCCAAGCTGTAGTTCTGTTTGTTGTGTTGCTTGTTATTTAGATCTGAAAGGCACTTCAAATGTGCTAGCACTTATGCATCTAGTTGTTCCACATCTCTTAGGTTTGGTTGGGATGTTCCTGTGATCCTGAGAAATTCAGAAGAAACAGAATCCAGTGTAAGAGTATCCAAAAAGCATATGAGACAAGTGAAGAATCCTTTTGGCTTAGAAATTCCTCATCCTGCTGCAGTTTCCATAACAAGTCAGTGGATTTTTTTGTCCCCATCTATAGTTCCCAGCCCTTGGTTTCATGGCCATACCCTGTTCCATTACACAATCATCACAGAAATTGCTGTACTAAACTGTGTGTTTTAAAGTTGCACTGTCAACATTTTGGGCTCAAAAATTAGATGTTTGTAAAATGATGTAAATTTTATTAATAAAACTTGCTCCAGTGACATATTTATCTAGCAAATTTTATTAATAAAACTTGCTCTAGTGACAACTTAGAGATGATAAACTAGACACAGCTTCATTCATTGTGAAGTCCATCTCATCCACTTAAAACGTACATAATTGGGCCTCATGAATGTGAATTGCAGAAGAGGCAGGGGATCTGTTCCCTCCTGCACCAATTGGAACAGTGAGCTGAGCTGATGAGCAGTTTTCAGCTGCTCCTATTGCAGCTTATGGGCTGGGCTAGGATCCCCTTCATGCACCTTGCACAAGGTGTTGGGGCAGCTAGGTTTATGCAGTGCTAGGTCCTGGCCCACCACGCTTATTCCCAATCTCCTCCCAGAGTGGCCTTCTGTATGGCTGTCCAAACCAGCCAATGAAGAAAGATATTTGTATGGGCTTGTGATGTAACCTTAAGTGGTAGTTTGCAGTTTGTTTGTGGTGTTTCAAAGTGCTGCTTTGTCCAAACATCCACTCCATTCCCGGGCCTCTGAAAGAATTAAGGAGATACTTTCCCAGCTTATGTCAAAGTCCAGCATCAAACCTGTAAAACCTTCCTGTATTCAAATAAAAAGCACTGCAGTAATGAACTCAGGTCTCTTCAGCTCTTTTCACACAGAATGTCTTGGCATTACCGGGCCAGATTTTTTAGAAGCACTAACACCCACTTAGGTACCAAAGTAAGTGATCCGAGTTTCCAAAGAGCTCAGTATATTGGATGCTGGGTGCGATTCTAAATCTGACCATTATGTGCTGCTTAGATGAGATCTGTGCTCTTCTGAAAAATCTATCCCAAGTTATAGGTGCTGAGTCCTTGAAAGTCTGGACTACTTCTCTTTTAAACTGTGTCCCTGAAGGCTCAGAATTGCTGTCCACTACCCTGATAACTAAGGCTGTGATTTAGTCACAAATATTTTCAGTAAAAGTCATGGTTAGGCAATGGGCAATAAAAAAAATGCAAAATGCACAGCCTATGACCTGTCTATGACTTTTACTAAAAATAATTATGATTAAAAATTGGGAGGGGGAGCGGAGGGTTGAGAGCCATGGCTGCTCCCAATGACCACAACTGCTCCAGCTGGCCAGGGCTACTCTGGGGCCTCCAGAATAGTGGCTGGTGTAGCTGTCCTTGGGGCTAGCTGCTTCAATGGCCTTATGGTCAGCCACACTGGCCCCTGCAGAAGTTATGCAGGTTGTGGAAATTCATGGAATCCATGGGCGTGGGTGGGAAGGATGAGTGGGCGGCCTGGATCTGAGTCTGTGGGCACAGGAGCATGGTAGGATGTGGGTCTTGTTAAATATAATTTTCCAAACAGCATAGTCTTTGGGAGGGAGTCAAACTCAGCCCCCTAAGGCTGTGTCCAGACTCAGGGTTTTTTTCGAAAAAACTTCCCCTGTGTCTAGACTGCAGCCGTGTTCTTTCGAAATTAAATCGAAAGAACGCGGCTTTTGTTTCGACGGTGGTAAACCTAATTCCACGAGGAAGAACGCCTTCTTTCGAAAGTGCTCTTTCGAAAGAAGGCATTCTTGAAAGCAAACAGGCTTTTTAGAAAGAGAGCATCCAGATTCACTGGGTGCTTTCTTTCGAAAAAGCGGCTTGCTTTTTCGAAATTCCGAGTGCAGTCTAGACGCTCTCTTTCGAAAGAGGCTTGCAGTCTAGACGTAGCCCAAGTGAAATGGTAGGTATAATGCTGTCAGCAGTAAACCTTACCCTGTACAAGATGCATGTGCCGCAGCAAAAGGCAACTTGTGGTCTTCCCCTTTCAAGTCCAGTATATCCACTCTAAATAAAAAAAAAAACCAACCAGAACCCTGATTACTGGTATTGATTTGCCTCAGCTGCCTCTAAGGAATTACGGCTGTAAATTCAGGATTCCTGTACACTGGTGATCTGATGATGCTTGCATTGTGTAGGATGCATGTTTTTTCATGTATTTATATGTTCATTCTCTAAGAGGGTATAACACTGACAGCTGATTGCCTGGAAGACTGTATCCTTACCTGTTACTGGGGGTGTAGTGTTCAAAAACTACACGAAGCTCTGCAGAAACACGTCTATTGCTTCAGAATAAAGACTCCGCAGGCACTAGAAGATGCACTCTACAGTGAATACATCTATCGACAGCAGTATTTGTATCCTTTTATCGATTTTTTTTTCCCACAAATTATGCTAATTTTCTGGCATGAGGGGAATTGAGCCTCGTGAGCCGTCTGCAGTTTTTGGCACAGTATATTTATGAATGAATAAGAATACTCTTAATGCAAGTGCTGCATTTGTCTTCAACTGGAGTGACATTGATTTTTTTTTTCCTTTACACAAATAAAGCATTACAAAAACTGACAAGGAAGAAAAATACTGTCAGTTGCCAGAAGATGCTCAAATTGCAGACTTTGGCCCAGTGCCTAGATCTCGTTACCCGCTGGTAGCTTTGTTGACTTTAGCTGAGGAAGAAGACAGAGAGATATACGACATTGTGAGTAATTTTAGAACGTAGCTGAGCACTGTATTGATGTGCGTGGATGCTTCAGAATGTAGGATTGAGTAGAATGGCTGGCTTGCTTTTCTCATGTGGCAAAAGCCAAAATCAAAGCTCTTGTTTCTTCACCAATGGAGGTTCCCTAAACAGGGGAACCTAGGTGGTCCTGCTATACATGGGGTAGGGATGAATGTATGTGTGGGCCAGTCAGGAAGAGCTTAGCCTCTGCACAACACAGAGCTTGTATATGCGAGGTCTTTGTGTGCTGGCACATTGGAGCAGAGCATGAGGGCTAGAGAAACTTCAGAGCCAGGAGTATCAATCACTATGGGCACGTCTAAACTACATTCCTCTTCCGAAAGAGGAGTGTAAATGAGCCTGATCGAAAATTCAAATGAAGCACGGATTTACAAATGCTTCATTTGCATAATCATGTGCGAGCGCTTTTTCGAAACGGGGTTTTGAAAAAGAAATCACAGTCTAGACTGGGTTCTTTTGGAAGAAAAAAACCCTTTTTCGAAAGGACCCATGCTCCTGAAAAGAACCCCGTCTACACTGTGGTTTCTTTTTCGAAAAACTCTGTTTCGAAAAAGGGCTCTTGCGTGATTATGCAAATGAAGCACAAGATTTGTAAATCCGTGCTTCATTTGAATTTTTGATCGAGCTCATTTAAACTCCTCTTTTGGAAGAGGAATGTAGTTTAGACATAGCCTGTATCACATGGTGCAGTGTAGCCTTTGAGCTGGTTTACCTTTTGTAACTTCTCTGGATCAGGAAGAGGGATTCAGCCCCAGAACTATTTGGCTGATCTCTGGGGAGAGGATTGAGGATGGAAGAATTGCCATACCAGATCGGATTGGTTGTTTATCTTGGTCAGTAGCCAATGCTTGATGATCTTCTCCTTATTCCTAATAGAGATTAGCTTCAATGCTGAAGCAAGAGGTTTAATATCCCTTCCAGAATTTTTTCACTTAGTTCCTGTCTAATGTGCAATGTATAGATTTATCCAGCATCTTTGAGTTTAAATGATATATTTGGTTCCAGTAGTTTGAAGTGCATGAACACTAATGTATATTGAGGCATACATATTTGAAGGCAAACTCCCTAATGCACTTGACCTTCCTTGCATACTAATATAGAAATCAGTCATGGCCAAAAGAAAAAATACCCAGGAGAACTTACGCATTAGCTTTTTGCACTATTCCTGTCCCTCAGCTTCCTGCCAGTCCACCATAAAGGCTTCAAAAGAAAACAATATCTAGCTCCTCCCTCAATCAGTACATTCAAGTATGATTATAATTCAATTTAGTTTAATAACAATAAAATGTATATTAAACAAACTTGCAAGAATGTTTCTTAAATTAACATGAGAAAAATGGATTGTTTTACCTGGCATTTTTTTGCATCAGGTAAAACATCAGGCATTTTTTTGCATCAGGTAGGGGAGAAAATCCAGTTTATTTTCCTTTTTTGTCTTTTTGAAGAAGTTTTTCTTCCTGATTGTCATCAAATACCTTTCAAGTGGTCAAAGCTGCAGAAGCAGAATCTACTTGTGCACTAAAAGAGGGAACAGATTTTAGAGATTTTCATGGTCCAAATGAAAGGATTGGATCTAACTTTGTTGCAGACCTTAAAAATATATAATCACGAAACAAAAATGATCAATGCTGAAATACTCAATCAAAACATTTTTTATATGTAAAAATATTAAGGAAACAGTTGTGCATTTTAGCCTTACAATACATCCATGGTAAACTTCTGGTGCATTCCCCATGCAAACTCATGCTTGCTTTTTTTAATGGTTGTCACGTAAGTAGCATTTTTTGGTACTGATCCAGAGAAGTTACAAAAGGTAAACCAGCTCAAAGGCTACACTGCACCATGTGATACAGGCTATGTCTAAACTACATTCCTCTTCCAAAAGAGGAGTTTAAATGAGCTCGATCAAAAATTCAAATGAAGCACGGATTTACAAATCTTGTGCTTCATTTGCATAATCACGCAAGAGCCCTTTTTCGAAACAGAGTTTTTCGAAAAAGAAACCACAGTGTAGACGGGGTTCTTTTCAGGAGCATGGGTCCTTTCGAAAAAGGGTTTTTTTCTTCCAAAAGAACCCAGTCTAGACTGTGATTTCTTTTTCAAAACCCCGTTTCGAAAAAGCGCTCGCACATGATTATGCAAATGAAGCATTTGTAAATCCGTGCTTCATTTGAATTTTTGATCGAGCTCATTTAAACTCCTCTTTTGGAAGAGGAATGTAGTTTAGACATAGCCTGTATCACATGGTGCAGTGTAGCCTTTGAGCTGGTTTACCTTTTGTAACTTCTCTGGATCAGGAAGAGGGATTCAGCCCCAGAACTATTTGGCTGATCTCTGGGGAGAGGATTGAGGATGGAAGAATTGCCATACCAGATCGGATTGGTTGTTTATCTTGGTCAGTAGCCAATGCTTGATGATCTTCTCCTTATTCCTAATAGAGATTAGCTTCAATGCTGAAGCAAGAGGTTTAATATCCCTTCCAGAATTTTTTCACTTAGTTCCTGTCTAATGTGCAATGTATAGATTTATCCAGCATCTTTGAGTTTAAATGATATATTTGGTTCCAGTAGTTTGAAGTGCATGAACACTAATGTATATTGAGGCATACATATTTGAAGGCAAACTCCCTAATGCACTTGACCTTCCTTGCATACTAATATAGAAATCAGTCATGGCCAAAAGAAAAAATACCCAGGAGAACTTACGCATTAGCTTTTTGCACTATTCCTGTCCCTCAGCTTCCTGCCAGTCCACCATAAAGGCTTCAAAAGAAAACAATATCTAGCTCCTCCCTCAATCAGTACATTCAAGTATGATTATAATTCAATTTAGTTTAATAACAATAAAATGTATATTAAACAAACTTGCAAGAATGTTTCTTAAATTAACATGAGAAAAATGGATTGTTTTACCTGGCATTTTTTTGCATCAGGTAAAACATCAGGCATTTTTTTGCATCAGGTAGGGGAGAAAATCCAGTTTATTTTCCTTTTTTGTCTTTTTGAAGAAGTTTTTCTTCCTGATTGTCATCAAATACCTTTCAAGTGGTCAAAGCTGCAGAAGCAGAATCTACTTGTGCACTAAAAGAGGGAACAGATTTTAGAGATTTTCATGGTCCAAATGAAAGGATTGGATCTAACTTTGTTGCAGACCTTAAAAATATATAATCACGAAACAAAAATGATCAATGCTGAAATACTCAATCAAAACATTTTTTATATGTAAAAATATTAAGGAAACAGTTGTGCATTTTAGCCTTACAATACATCCATGGTAAACTTCTGGTGCATTCCCCATGCAAACTCATGCTTGCTTTTTTTAATGGTTGTCACGTAAGTAGCATTTTTTGGTACTGGGGATGTTAAAATGTGTTTAATTATGTAATTGTGTAACTGTTGAAAACTGCTTAAAGCTGGCTCCCCGTGAACACCGGCTCCTGCCTGGCACTTCTCCCCCACTCCCCCCACTGCTGCCTCTGATACAACACAGTGGGAGTGCAGAGGCAGGATCCCGCCTGTCCCAGCACCACAGATCTTGCTGTGCCTGGGAAGTGGCCAGCAGCCGGTCTGGCTCCTAGACAAAGGCGCACAAGTGACTCTGCTTTGCTCTCACCCACAGGCATTGTTCCCCCAGCTCCCGTTGACCAGTTCCCAGCCAGCGGCAGTGCAGAGCTGGTGTTCAGGGCAGGAGCAGCGTGTGAAGCCCTATGGCTCCCTACTAGCCATAGTAGCAATAGCAGAACAGATAAGGACTAGTAGTTTTCAAAGTGCAATTTGTGACCCAGTTTACCAAGCCACCAAAGTCCCTGGGTGCCGAGCAAGGTGACCCAGTGCCTTACATTCTGTGGCCCAGTACTGGGTCGCAACCCAAAGTTTGAAAACCGCTGATCTAGGCCATGCCTGACTGGTGTTTACATAATATACTCTTAAAAATTTCCAGTGATAGAGATTCCACAACCTTCCTAGGCAATGTCTGCCAGAGTCTAATTACCCTGACAGGCAGTTTTTCCTAATGTGCAATCTAAATTGCCCTTGCTATAATTTAAGCCCATTGTTGCTTCTTATCCTCAGTGCTTAAAGAGAACAATTTCTGTCCTTCCTCCTTGTAACAATCTTTTATGTTCTTGAAATTTGTTAACGTCTTCTCCAGACCAAACAAACCCAGTTTTTTCAATTTTCCCTCATAGGTCATGTTTTCTAGGGCCAGGTCCATGCTACGGGGAAGATCAGTGTAAATTGGAGTTGACATACCTTAAGCCGAGCTTTGGCGCAATCCTCATGGTGGGAGGTCAACAGGAGAAATGCTCCCATCAACTTCCCTTACTCCTTGTGAGGAGCAGGCATACTGGCACTGACAGGGGCACCCTCAGCATTTGATTTAGCAGGTCTTTACTAGACCCCTAAATCAAACACTGGAAGATTGACCGCCGCAACATCAATCTTCCTGCAAGTGGAGATGCGGCCTAGATCTTTCATTATTTTTGTTTTTCTTCTGTGGACCTTCTCCTATTTGCCACATCTTTCCTGAACAGTGGTGTGTAGAACTGGACCTGAACTGAATAGCTCTGGTTGAGTCCTGATCAGCATGCAGTAAAGCGGAAGAATTACTTCTCATGGCTAAAAACTGGAAACCAGACAAATGTAAATTAAAATTTAAGTATAAATGTTAAATGGAATCTGAAAGACAGCCTTGGGCATTTGCGGGAGGAGAGAGAACACAAAGGGGAAAGGGAAAGTGGAGGTGTTCTCCTTTCACATCATCAGCTATGGACGTTGTGCAATCAGAGCACAGCTGACAATGTTACTGCTGCTGTCCAAGGCAGGATAGAATCCAGTCACAGAAGAGCAAGTCACACGGGGGTTTGAGGCCAGATTGTGACTGGCTTTTACCAGGTACCGGTGGAATTTCCCTCCCGCACCCCATGTAAGAGCCAATCAGAATTGCTCTCATACTCGCTCTGGGTGAAGTTCATTGCTGTGTGGAGGTGCAGCATCAGGCAAATACCATTGAAAACTGTAATGTGTTATAGCACCTGGGAGCTCTCGTCATGGATCAAGATCCCATTGTGCTAGGTGCCATACAAACATAGAACCCAGAGACACCCTCTGTCCCAAAGAGGTTACAACCTTTATTTGAGTCCACAGTTCAGTGAGGTACTTAAGCATTTCCCTGTCTTTGTTTACATCTACACAAAGGCTGTAAAATCCTGTAACCGGTTAAACAGTACAGTTAACTGTGATCCCATGGCAGGGGACTGCTTCATCTCTGCCAGGCCTGCTGCCCTGCGGGCTGCTCCAGCCACCCATCGCTCCCCCGCCCCCCAACGGCTCTTCATACACTTAAGAAGCAGAGACACAGCATCTGGGACTGGGCGTGAGCTGGGAATCAGCTGATTCCTGGCTCATGCCCAGTCCCACACTACGCTTCTGCCTTTCCTGCCCCCTGTGGAGACAGTGCTGGGGGGAACCAGCTTTTAAGCTGGCTCCCCTCAGCACTGACTTCTGCTCCCCCCGCCTTGCTGCCTCTCTCTCATATGCTTATCGGGTAGTCGACTAGTCACTTATGTCCCTAGTAAGGGTCAATCTACGCTACCGCAGAGATTGATGCTCTGAGATCGATCCACTGGTGGTTGATTTAGCGGGTCAAGTGAAGATCAGTCTCCAGTTGACTCTGTTATTCTACCCCAGATGAGAAAAATATGGGAAGTTGACAGAGTTACTGCGGGGTCTACAGAGAATCTTTACTTAAGGTACATTGACTCCAGCTACATTATTCACATAGCTCGAGTTGCATGCCTTAAGTCGACTTTCTGCTGCTGTGTAAATGCAGCCTTTGACTCCCATGTTCTTAAGTGTTTTTTCTGGTTGGTGCCCAACTCGCTGGACTCAGTAGTAGGAGAATCTTTACTGTGGATCAGCCACAGAAGAATTTACATAGGCACAGTGTGGTTGTAAAATTTGACCCTTGGATTGTCTATTTGATCACATGTTCAACAGTTGTATAGGACAGTAGCTTGACCAACCCTTAGAAACAGGACAAACGGTTTTTATACAGGCCACAAAGAGACACAAATTAAACCTTGTACTTATTTTAGCTTCTCTAATTCCTTAATAGACTCTATCATTTGTCTGTGATGTGCTGCACATATATAAATCAACAAGTCATACACCTGGAAGGAGGTTGTGCTCAATAAAACTTTTGTTTTTAGATTTCAATGGTGTCCGTAATCCATATTCCAGATGAAAGTTACAGACTTTCCTGCAGAATATTATATCAGTATCTACTTTTGGCCCAAGGTCAATTTCATGACCTTAAGGTAAGCTGTGCTCTGAGTCTTACTTCACTCTGACTGTAATATTCATTTAGTTTGTGTAGGCTAGCTACTCTAAACTGGTATCCGGCTTTTTCAGTCTCATGTTATACCAGAAATTGGATGATGGTTACACTTATCACGTCACTACGTTAGTTCCAAGCAGACTTACAGTGCAACCTGCATTTTATCTGAAAATATCTGAACTCTCCTACAGAAATCCCTTGTTTGTATATATTTATATTCCAGGCAACCCCAGATCCTCCCGATTTATCAAAGTGAGAGTAACAGATTGACTCTCACCTAGTAACTGCTGCAAATCTTACAAAGTACTCAGAATGGTTTTGATCCAAAGCCCATTCATGTCAATGAGAGTGCTTCTGTTGACATCCGTGACTTTGGATCAGGTCCGGTGTGCACCATAAAATCATTATGGCGAAAGCAGATATTGAAAATAATTTATATTCTCTTCTAAAGTCTTTGTTTTGATAGTATATCAATAGGAAATAATATGCAGATAATGTGTAGACAATATCAATGAATTATAAAGAATGGGCCAAATTCATTCCTTGATGGAACTCAACTTGAAATTTAAGCCACAAATAGATTTGTCCCAATAAATCCAGCAGTTTGATACATATTTGTTCCATGTGACCCACCCTAAAAAAATCCCCATATGCTTTGTGGTGGGGTATTGTTACCTCATCAAACATACTGTTGGCAATAAACATAATGGATCTGCATAATCACTACAATTTTTAATTGTACGTACAAATTTGTGTTTGTATACATAGACATGCACTCTCTGTGCATATTGTATCCCTAACTGCTTTTAAAAAAATAATAGAATATAGGAGCAGGTTTCCATTCTGATGTCTTCAACAAGTTCTGTTTCCTTTTGCAATTGGATGCTTTAGGAAGCTAAAATAGATTCTGGTAATAATGAGTAGTCCTGTGGCCCCTTAGAGACTAACAAAAAATATAGAGAGAAAGCTTTCATGGGTAAAACCCACTTCATCAGATGAATTGGAATGGAAAATATGTCTAATAGCAATCCAAGAGACATAACAAACAGTAAAAAGCATTTACCTGTCACTTGTAGGACCCATATTAATGACGCTAATTAAGTGAGCTGGATGAGTCCCATTCATAGCTTTTGATGCGGAAATGTGAATGTTAAAGGTAGGGGAAATTGACGAAATTGGCTTGGTAGTGCGTTTACTAGGGATGTTAAAGTATCGGATAATTGACTAATCGAATAGTCGATTTATTTTGCATCGACTATTCAATTAGTCAATAGAGCGCCTCCGCCTTTGAAGTGTAGCAACAGCTGTAGGGTTGCAAACATGAAAGACCTATTTCCTGCCCTGAAGAACTTGCAGTCTAGATGAAATGAGACAGGAAATCACAAGAGCTAGTAAAATGTGATGGGTTTGAAGGCAGAGAGAATGTGTGTTTGCTGGGAGAGGTTGGGGCCATAACTCCAGGCATGTGGAGTAGCATGTTAGAAAATACAAAGCCTGGACCAGACCCTCATCCATTGCAAACCTGTATAGCTCTAGGGAAGTCAGTGAACTACACGGATTTGTGGCAGCTGGTCTCCTGTCTCTTTTCTCCATCGTTGTTCTGCACCTCTCTAGCCTCCGAAAATGTCCATAACTGAAGTCAAGGGAGTTGTTCCCGTTTGCACCATGGCAGAATTTGGTCCTGTATTGAACATAATAGGATTCATGTGTGAAGAGAGAAGCACAGCCCCATTAGTTTGTATGTGGTCTGTCGTAGATCACACTAGAAAATAAATGTACAATTACTGCGTTCTGTTGAAACGGGGTTGTGTGTGTTTTGTCCATAGCAACTCTTCATGTCTGCAAGCAACAGTGCCCCGCCCTCGAGCACTGCATCTGGAGAGAGTAGCACTGACAAAAGCTTGCTGGAGAAGGTTGGGCTGGCCGATGCTGAATCAGAATTACTTGAGGAAAACAGTAAAGACTGTGTCGTCTGCCAGAATGGAACAGTGAACTGGGTCCTCCTGCCCTGCAGGCATGCGTGTCTGTGCGATGGGTGTGTGAAGTACTTTCAGCAGTGCCCAATGTGTAGGCAGTTTGTTCAAGAATCTTTTCCCCTGTGCAGTAAAAAGGAGCAAGATGAACCCCCACAAGTTTTCCAGGGTGCTCCCCTCGGAGCAGACTTTTAGTGGAAAACCAAGAAGAATCAGGTTATACTCTCAAGTGGGCGATGTAGAACCTAAAGCATTTTCTCTCCACGGGAAGATCTTCAATGTAACTTTGTTAGTTGCATTTTTTCATGTCAATGCGGCATATGATTACTAAAACACTGCATATACCCTGGTGATATGGACAGAAGAAGTGTGTAGGATATGTACAAAGGGAGTTTTTTGATAACCGCTTACTGGATGTTCATGAAGTATTAGAGATTGTGTTCACATGTAGATTTAGGTGCGCTGAACGTTAGAAAAGAAAAAAGGCTTTCTTACAACTGAAATGAAAAATACTTCTATATAATAGATAAAGAGGTTTCTAAATGTAACGTCAGAAGAAAGTATCATTTTAATACCATATAATTTAGATAATTTAGCACTTTACAGAATGAAAAATGAAGGAAACAAAATATTTAAGAATCTGTACTTAGATTGGGTATAAATCTGTATGTATTCATTTTGCATTTGAGGGGCTTGGCCATGGGAAATGCTGAGCTGCTCAAATCCAGTTGAAGTTACTGGGAGTTAAAGATATTCAGGACATTAGTGTGTCTGCACCTCTTATATTTTGTTGTTAGTGCTTTGAAAGAGATGTTCTGTTGCACAGGGTCTAATCCAAAGCCCCTTGAAGTGACTGGAAATATTCCCATTGATTTCAGTGAGTTTTAATTCAGGCCCCTACTAAGTATCAAGCAGGTAGAATGCCTAAGTATGCCCCCTGTGTGTAGACTGCCACTTTGCACTCATAGGGCTTTAAGTGTTGCTAGTGGGAAAGGAGAAGAAACTAATTATTTTGTAGTTGATGTTAGCAGCATGTCATGTTCATAACGCGGAGAGCCTAGTCTGTGAAGTTACCATCTCTCCCATACTTGTTGTTGAAGAAAAGGAGCTAGAAAACAGTCGTCTTTTGTCATCAAAATAAATACATAAAAATGAGTGTTGAGAAGAGAAATGATTCTGTTCATTTAATGCAAGAAAGACTAATGTAATTCAGGCTGACGTAACTTGTCAGCCAGAACTTTTCCTTGGGTGGAAAGAAACACCAAAGTAAAAATAGCAAACTCCCACTCTTCCTAGGACCCCATGAGAGACGGGGGCTTGGCAAGGAGCAATACTCACTCCTTGCTCTGCCCCTGCCCCATCATCGCCCCCAACACCAGTGCAGCTTCTCAGGCCTCTCCCTTCCCACCGCACAGCTCTCCCTCTGCGGAAGGAAAACAGCGTTGAGGCATCTCCTACAGCCTCTTCAACTGGTGCTGCCCCGGAACTGAGCACTGTGCACAGAGTCCCTAATTCAGAACCTGAAGCTATCCGCAGTTTCTTGCCATGACCCCAAATGCAAAAATCTTCATGGCTGAGATGGATTATGGGAGCTGGCAGGTCCTGCTAAGAAGTCTCTGGGGGAAGAAGGAGAGGTGAGACACAATGCACTAGGCCACCTGTGATTAATAAACCACACTTCTTCCTAATAAGAGACCTGGACTTGTCTCTGGAACTCTAATCTCCGCTCCCCCTCACTCTCTTGGTAACTTGAAGGAAGAATCACTTGCACCACGTGTCAAACAGAGATAACAGTGGGTGTTGAGAAGCCCGGTTCATGTCTGGAAAGAGCTTTTGAAGAAAAAACATGCTGGCTGGATGCCAAATACTGTTATTTCTAGTGTAACTCTGCATTAACTGAAACCATCCCTCACCATACGGGTGCACTCCCAGAGACAAAGTACCCAGCAGTACAGGTACTCTTAAAAGCAGTGAGGACTGTGATGTTATGCCGTCTCCATCCAGACGATATCCAGACGATGGCCAGCTACCAGGGTTCCACATAGATCAGACCAAAGAACATATTGAGGTGGTAATAGTTCCCCATTTGCAGATAATCAGAGGTGGCTGCTATAGTGATAGGTGATGAGAAAGCGTTCTGAACACTTAAGTGATGGGCATAATTCCCATGGGAATCTTCCTTTCCATTATACAGCCTACAGCGGAGTAAAAGGAATGGAGTGAGGACATTCACCTCATGGAAAGGAAGGGTCAGAACTATGCAACATGTTTTCCCTACTACACTATGGCTATGTCTACACTACAGAGTTTTTGCGCAAAAACTCACAGAGCATCCGCACCTCAAGCACATTTTTGCACAAGACAATTTACAGTGAATCGACGGAACAGAGGGGTTTCTGTGGTATAGGTATTCCTCTTTCTACAAGGAATAACTCCTTTTTGCACAAGCGCTCTTGTGCAAAAAGGTGTGTGGGGATGGGAAACGGGATTTTTGCACAAGAAGCATTCTGTTCATGGCAATCAGAGCTTTCTTGCAAGAGAGCTTCCATGCTGTCTGGATGCTCTCTCGTGCAAAAGCACATCGCTTTTCCAATGCGCTTTTGCAGTGTGGACGCGCTCTTGCGCAAGAAGTTTTTGAGGAAGATCTCTTCCGCAAAAAGCATCTTGCGCAAGAAGCCTGCAGTGTAGACATAGCCTGAGTCTGCAGGTGGCCTTGTGAATCTGCTTCAGGAATTGGGGACTCTGTCGGTTTTCAGGCATGGTGCAGAAGCTGTCCCCATTGTGTTCCCCACTGCACCCCATAGATTCTCAAGTAGAATTTCACACTAGGCTATGTCTATACTATAGCCTTCTGTCGCAAAAGCTTATGCAAATGAAGTGCAGAGTAGAATATCACTACACTTCACTTGCATAATTAATTAGCAACCATTTTTGCACAAGAGGCTTTTGCGCAAAAAGGAGCAGTGTAGATGGCTCCTTTTTGCGCAAAAACTCCCTCTTGCACAAGAGCCATTCTTTCTGAAAACATGAGGAAGAACGGCTCTTGCACAAGAGGGGGAGCCATCTACATAGCTCCTTTTTGCACAAAAGCCTCTTGCGCAAAAACGGCGGCTAATTATGTAAATGAAGCACAGCGATATTCTACTCCGTGCTTCATTTGCATAAGCTTTTGCGGAAGAAGGCTGTGGTTAGACGTAGCCCTAGAGTTAATGGGTAACTCCCACAGCCTCCCTCTACTTTGCTGCCATAGGGGACAAGAATGCCTAATCCCAGCCTGGCTCCTGATGCAGTTTTGTGGGCAGGAGTCTGGAGGCCTGCAGAACAACATAAGAGGATGGACTTTATGTTGAAATCCCAGGATTCCCAAGAATTGATACCTTGTTTTCCTGGGACTCAGTGCAGTTTGGAGATCCTGCCTAACCAACCTGTTCCAAGAAACCACTAACCTTGTTGCTCAAAGGGAAGGACAGCCCTAAACATCTACCTCTTCAGATACTTTACCTTAGTTTTTCCCTGTCCACTGAGTTTTTTCCTGGGCGAGTAGTACCAGGGCTTATAATGTTAAAGTCGGATCGCCACAATCCTCAGCACCATGGAATAAATCTGCTTCCATTGAAGCTAATGATAAATTTCTCTGACTCCAGTGGGCTCACAGTTGGAAATCCCATCCCAGGGCATGTCTACACTAGGAAATTATTTTGAAATAACTAAATTTGAAGTAACTCCTGAAATAACAAAATTGAAATGGTGTTATTCCCCAAGGAAAGCAGGAATACAGATTTCGAATAATCAACCTGTTATTTCGCAATAGCGGGCTTGGTAGTATGGATGCTCCACTTATTATTTCGAAATAATATTTTTGGAATAACTTCCTAGGGTAGACCAGGACCCAGATATTTATTTCTGGCATGACCCAAAGCAGGGTGTTTCACAGCAGTTGGAACCAAACTCTTCCTCGGTCAGTGATGACATTTCAGCCCCAACTACAAGGCCCTTTTTGGTGATTTGGTCTGACCCAGCATGGCTGTTTTTATGGGTCCCAGAAAGATTTTTCTGACACCCACTTTCCTGAGGGGAGAGCTGTTCCCTTCTGCCTCTGGGTGAGATCAGAGCTCTGAACTGGCATCGGATTTGCAGCTGGGCTTTCTCCAGGAGCGGCCTGAGGCCGGATGTGGCAGCTGGCTCCCCAGGCGGAATGTGTGATCGGCACCCCCACCTGCATGGCCGTCAATGGGGTGACGTCATCACTGGGCACCCCGGGTGCCCCGTGACGTCATCATCAGGTGCCGTTGAAGGCGGTGTCCTAGGCGACGGCTGAGTCGGCCGATAGTCACGGGCCGCCCCGGCTTCTCCCCATTCAGTATTTTGACTGGATCTTCTCTGGCTAGTGAAGGAATATCTGTGTCTACCTAAGACAAGAACAACTCAAAGAGATCTTTCCCAGTTACCTCCCATTCTGTTCAAGTCTCATCATTGAGACAAAGATCTCAACCAACCAAACTGAGTATCTTCACAAGAAGTGTTTCCAATCTTCCCCTCCTCGCCAGATTATACTGGGAACTTCTCTTCAGGGCTGGCCTTACCATGAGGAACCATGTGTGTGTCGGGGGTGCCACTAGGACCCAGAGTGTAGAAAATTGTGTCTGCTGCTGGTGCATAAGTAGATAGCAGAGCAGTCCCGTGAGAGGAGTAGAACAGGAAAAAGGCAGAATTTAGACCTTTCAAAGTTTTGGCCCAAGCGAGGGCGCATGGGGGCGTCGTTTGAGCTCCCCGCCTCCGCTGCCAAAATGTTGTGGGCCGGCCCTGCTTCCCTTCCTCGATTCAGGGACTATTGATTTATTTATTGTACAGGAGCATTTAGAGATGCCAACTGAGCTCGGGTCCTATTGTGTTGCCTGCTGTGTATACGCATAGCCTGCCTGAAAGAGCTAGCAATCGAAATAGTCAGGGACCGGCGTAGGAACAGGTGTAGCACGCTGAACTGACCTGCTTAAGGACACAGTAGGTCAGTACCAGCGTTGGGAGGAGAACACAGGTACCCTGAGTCCATTGTAGTGGCTCAGCCATTAGACCACACACAAGCGCTTTCTGCTGTGCAGTATAAAGGCTGGTTTATAGCTGACCCCCAGAAAAATCAGTCGGGGGCCGCAAGTGAGAAGCAAAGGGAGAAGCCCCTGCCTGAGAAGGAGAAAGACACTCCCCACGTTCCCCTCGCACACTGGAGAGCCCAGGCTAATAGATTTTGTGTGCTCCGGGCCTGTGGATGGATGGCAGGGGGCTAAAGTGTGAGCGTGGGCTCCCCAATGCGGCAGGGAGATCTCTGAGCCTTGGGGGCCAGATCCAGAGAAGCCGAGGTTCCCCACCCGAGTTCTACTGTGTCACTTTAGAAATCAGTACAGTTAAAGAAATACAACACCCTCTTAGGCTATGTCTAGACTGCAAGCCTCTTTCGAAAGAGGCTCTTTCGAAAGATACTTTCGAAAGAGCCTCTTTCGAAAGAGAGCGTCTAGACTGCACGTTGAACTTTCGAAAAAGCGGCTTGCTTTTTCGAAAGAAAGCATCCAGTGAGTCTGGATGCTCTCTTTCGGAGAAGCCCTATTTACATTGAAGAACGCCTTCTTTCAAAAGAGGAACTTTCGAAAGAAGGCGTTCTTCCTCGTGAAATGAGGTTTACCGCCATCGAAAGAAAAGCCGCGTTCTTTCGATTTAATTTCGAAAGAACGCGGCTTGAGTCTGGACGCAGGTGAGGTTTTTTCGAAAAAAGGCTACTTTTTTAGAAAAACCTCCTGAGTCTGGACACAGCCTTAGTCTGTAACTTATGACACCGTACTTACATCCCCAGCAGTTATGACACCGTACTTACATCCCCAGCTTAATCTATGCTGCTTTAAGCATCTTAATAATAATATAACATCTTCCACACTAAGGAGAGGAAAAAATATGTAGCACTTAAAAGACTAACAAGATCGTTTGTTAGTCTTTAAAGTGCTACATATTTTTTCCTTTTGTTTTACCAAGATCAGACTAACACGGCTAGCTCTCTATTACTAAGGAGAGGGTTGTACGGCTATAGTTAGGTCAGTCTCTAAACAGATCTGGTTAAAGCTGTTAACAAGTCCTAAGATGGCATGATGCCTTACACACAAAACTGAGAA